TAATTCAAGTCCGGTGCAAAAACATATGATCGCACGGGCCCGCCCGGTGCGTTCCAGCCTGGGTCTGATTTGCAAAGAACTAGAAAATCATTCCACGTGCTCAGTTTCGCTAAAAGCATAAAATCGCGAAACATTCAATCATGTGAGCTGATCAAGTGCGCCATTAGGTTTTCAGAGATTGTCCTAAAAGGTTAGTAAAATTCCTATTACTCCATAAGGCTTCATAACTGCAGAATTCACAAATCATCATTTACTGTTTTGGAAGCGATGCTAACAACCCTATTTAGAAATATTCTTGTATTTATCCTTGCAATTCGATAGTCCTCGAATAGTATTATCTTGCACTTTATTACTCACATGTGGCTTTGAACAGGTACAGCTCAGTTAGATGCTGATACCTCGAGTTTTCAGGTACGTGCTTACGACCTTTTGCCGAGAATGACAACAGGACCTCAAGCTCTGGCTGTCAAACGAGTTTGACAAAAGCGACAACAACAACGCCACCCCCTTGCACACCATCAAAAACGTTAAAATGTCAAGTGGTCGAAGAGAACAAAGATTTTTTGCCGTACAGTGATTCTTCCTCACCAACTTCCGATCTTTCTCCGAACATCGATTCCCGCAATGAACATCTTCAGGAGCAAGAACTAAGTCACTTACTAAACGATAAGTTCGCAACTGGATTTTTGAATCTCCAAAACGAGTGTTAGATTTTACGCCTTTTTTCCTGTATTTGTAAAAGACAAAATACAAATCAGTCTTTTTGCGTCGCATGCTCGCCCAGTGGGACAGGCTTTTATAACTCTCGCCAAATAGTTAGAGATTGTGACCGAATATGATCGGGCAATGCGGTAGGCATGGCGCATTGAAGTAACAGTGCTGACGTGCAACAGATCAAAAGTTCGACAACTAATCCCACTACGATTTGTTTATTCGTTTTATGTGCTGGCAAGTATTAGGGAGTCAAACCTGTCATCAACTTGCTCCTCATTAAAAATGGTTGCGGGCAAACAGGAGACCGAACCACTCCACACTCGGACTCGATGTGCTAGTTACTACACCACCGGTTCCTGTACTCACTTTCCCCACTCACTGGGAGCGAATACGGCGAGGACGGGGGTGAAGGCGGGAAGGGGTTGACTTTTCATTTTTGATGATTTAGACAATGCATGAAGCGCACAGTAAAGTCTAAACTGGACAGCTCAGTGACACTGGCAGGCGTTGCCCACCTACTGCCAAGTTCAAGATGCTGGCACATTTCACTCGTGAGGGGACCAAATCTTCTACATTTCACACAGCTACTAATACGGGCTTGAATAGCAAGGAGCAAAACTTGTACAGCTGCCACACAGCTTGCAAAAAGAGCACATCTTCAGCTCTGCCATTGATTAGTTGTTATTTGAAAAATCAAGGTCACTCGCCGAAAGAACCACAGTTTTTGTTTGATTTCGACAAACTGCATGTTTCAACAAATAGGGGAGCACAGCATTGGTCTGGAGAACACAATTTATTCAATGGAAGCTAAAACTAAAGTACCTATTCTGCACTAAGTACGCCACATGCCTTAGAACACTTGCCCTTTTAGTGTCCACTAACGTAATGTGAATGAAGGGCGAAATAGACAAAAAGATCACTCAAAATGCCAAATTACGCTATTTTAAAAATTTCTTAGTAGCCTTCTGCTTGATCAAGATGTGAAATCAAAGATCAAAACGCAGAGGGGCCAATGTGCAAAGTCTGAAAACGGTGATTAACCGATTTAAGACTTTGCACATTGTCGGAATTTCTCGCCTTTTTCATTTAGAACATCAGGATATGTGATCAGACGTGTGCACCTTTAATCTAGCCTTGCATTTCAAAACATAAAATAAGAGTTGCAGCGGAAAAATCGCCGATTTGGACGACAGAAAAGCTGCAGCAAACAACAACTGACACGAACATGGGCGACGACGACAGTGACGGAGGTAGTGGCGAAGACACTTCCAGTTCGCAAAATCCATATTTTTATGATGAAACCATATGAATGAATGTGTGAATCAGTATGTGAATGAAAGTGCTGTACGCTGAATGTATAATAAACGAATAGATGGGCGTTCTACCAACTTTTCCCTTAGTGCGTCTCTATCCATGACAGTTTTTCTGGATTTTTTTATGAGTCCTAGGCAAGGTCACTCCAGACAACAATGTACTACAAAAAAGTATTTTGTAGTATTCAGAATGCTCCTAACAGCATCCTGGATACTAGAAAATATTTTTTTTACTCGAGCAGTTGCACGTTCTTAACCATCTCATACAAATGCAACGATTCCGTACGAAACAAAACATTAGTCGAAAGTGACCCAATTCGTTATCTTCTGAAGAAACTTTACTTCGGACATAGTTTGAACAAGCTGCTCGGACAATCAGCATACTGTTAGATAACCGAAAGTCTCGCTTATTCATAATCTGTTTGTGAGTGCACTTCTGGATTTTTCAGAAATCTAAAAAACATAAGATTGTTGAGACCTTTGACCCTGCTTTCCAAAGATGCACATTCACTCACAGTGATTGTGGTAGGTTCTTCGTCGGTGTTTGTCAGTGCGTAGTGACTTTCCCGCCATTCCTTGTTGCTCTTCTGAAGACTTGTACCTTTCATGTCTTTTTTCTCAAAAACAGGCATCTACTGAATCTAAAGGAAATGAGCGCAGGCAATTCCTGCTTGAGATCTAGATTAAAAACAGCTCTATTTTTATGGAATTTATGCATTTGTGTAAAAACGAAAACGCATATTGCAACGATGTGTGCGCGTAAGATCAGATTATAAGTAACATGCCCTCGACTGTATATAGTAGAGCGTGTGTACGCGTATTTGCCTGTCCGAGTATCTCAACGTGGCAACCAGGCAGACTTTGGTGCTGAAACTTTGCCAATAAACCCTGACCACACGTTGGTACCAATTTTCACGAACATCTGATTCTCATGTGTGGACTCACAAAAGTTTCGGCTGGAAAAACCCGGGCTGGAACGCACCGGGCGGGCCTGTGAGAACATGCGTTTTTGCACTAGACTTGAAGCACTCAGGTCATTAAATGCATAAATGGCTTTTGCTTTACACCTACCTTTCGCGGTCACTAGCATAAGTCACCATAAATTTTGCAAAACAAATGCACAGTTTCCATTTAACAGTCCCTCTTTAGAAGTAACCTAGTTGTTCAGTGAGAAATTTTTCCCCCAAGACTTTAAGTGCTCGTACTTAAGAACTACGTATACCTCAAGGCTGAATTTGAAATACTTAAGTTGTACTTGGACAGGGAACACTCCTTCAAAATTTCAGCTTTCAAGCTTTTCTGGTTACCGAGTTAGCAATTTTCCCGCTAAAACGTT